TGACCCCGACATTTGGCAGTTGGACTTGAACAAACTACTCCCTATCGGCTACCGTTTACAACGACTATTACTTTCCAGGCCAGTATGGGATGTGCTTACCTTAAACTAAATAGCATCAACACAGCCCATGTATCTGATTTACTGGTAGTCTAGCAACCCTACTTACAAACGACCCTATGACTCTGGCAACCGGGAGCATCAATCCTGGGGATAGGTAGTCAGCTCAACTCTGTGAATGGAGAGCATCGAACCTACGATTGGTGGAGGCGATGCCCTCGGAAGCTATGGTCACACTGAATCCTCATTTATCACTCGCCCTAGCAACGCTAATCTCTATGCGTCAGTGCGTGTATGTGTGCGGTACGGCCGACTGGTGAACCGAGTCCCAGAGACGCAACTAGTCCTGCCGGACACGTCGAGACTTGGACTTGGAGGTTCTGCGTTCATGAAGGCTGGCGCCTGCCCCCAACCGCAGCAGTTGTGGGTTGTTGAGGCAACCGTTCAGATTGTCTGCCAAGGCAGGCGTCTGGGAGAGGAGAGTTGTGTACATTTGCTTTTGCCCAGATGGAAAATCCGCCTAACAGTGTCGGTGGTGCGTGTTTATTGGCCGATTCTTTGCATGCGACACGTTTGATGCCACGGGCAACGGGGACAAAGGGTACAAAAAGGTTACTACTGCTGTCACGCCTTATGGCGATGGTTGTCACGGTAAATGTCACATGGAGACTAGCGTCTTGGCTGCTTGTCCGGCTTATGTCACCTGCTCGGTCGGGCCAGAAGAGAGGAGCACATCGGCCGGACAGCTTAGGCGAAGACCGTCCGAAAGAGGAGTTTGCTCAGCCTCGACCGTCTGTACCAGCGATTGTTGGGCCACACTGCGTCACAAGCTTCTGGGCAGAAAGAGACACTTTTTTATGCACAACTGTGGCGAGATATCGCCAGCACCGGGACTCGTGGAGAGCTTCGCGTTGCTAGCGATTGTGTTTTATCACCATCCGCTGCAGCCTGACGGCTGTCGGGCGGCACCAGTCTTGAGCGGGCTTTCAATTGAACTGATGCCGAATTGGTGAAGATGCCTCAGTTTTGCTTTCAATTTCACAACAGTCTCGGTGAGACTCGAACCGAAGACATGTGGTGTGACTGACGGACGCTTTAGTCTCATTGTTGTACATGATTGCACCAACAAAACTATATCAAATAACAGAAATTTACGGAAATTCAGCACTGCTCGACAGCCGGCTGTACGTTAGAGCCATTCTCAAAGACAAAATCAACATAAATGCTATCCGAAGAAAGTTGAGTTTCGAGGAATCTCTTGTTTCAAGGTCGATGCCAACATGAGACGACGGAGGACTCCTCTTGACCAGCTGACGATTGGTCCAGTGGAACATTCTTGCTGATGCCGTTTCCGAGGCAATCTGCTTCGATTCCGGTGAAAACCTGGTTAGCTTTCGTGCGTCATTATGAGAAGGACATCATCAAAGCAGATGGTATCATTCTTATGACCATATTTAAGCTGATGGTTGGATAAAACTCACCGGCCCATCCCTAAATACTGTATATACACACTTTGATAAAGTACAGCAAAGTGACCGTGATTAGAGCTTCGACAATAAATTCGAGTCGAGTGGTGGCTCAAAATCCTCTCTAATCGTGAGTCTACTAATTAAGCACAAGTAGTGTTGATCAACTTCTTGCCGGATTGCCTATTCAGTTTATCTCGATGGCCTCTCAAATAGCAAATATAAACGCAGACATTTCATACTCAGCAAAGTGATAAGTTTGAGACCATTCAATCTCGTGTCCAGTTTCTGTCTTGTGCTCAGTAAGCTATGATTTTTGAGTCCAACAGCCTGTACAGGCATTTTCGTGTTCAGCCAGCCTTTATCGAATGGGGCGACCAGTCGCTCCAACATAAAAGCGACCACATTACCGCATTATCTTATAGCAACTCGATCTGGAGAAAAGGTTAACTTTGTCTCTAAATTGCGTATAATTGAAGAAAGACAACACTTTCTTTGAAATCCCTTTTTACTTCCCACTTCCTTACTAGTTCGCATGTTCTTATAGAGAGAATGCACAAATGCAAGGACAAAACATGGAAAAAGATGTCATCAATTCTCCTCATGCACTCACCATTTAAAAGGGTATTCTTTATTAATCTAATGTTATTTTCAATCGGACCAAGGAGATTATTATTCTCAAGAAATACTAGCTTGAGCCGGCCCAGTTCATTATCATAATCGTCCCTCTCGGCAAATCTTATGTCCCGTATGAGCATAGATTTTAAAACGACAACCTTTGTTCTGTAACTATGGTTCGAGAAGAAATTAACGATAAGACTATCGTGTATTGGCTTCCCCTATACATCCTCGCCTAATTTCCCATCTGATCTGATCACTAAGACATCCAAAAAAAGGATATATTATTGTATTTTTCTATTCCCAGTGTTGCAATCAATCTGGTTGATTAAGAACAAGAAATTATTTGCTTGAGTATAGCAAAGTATTTTTCGAATAAAGTATTGTTTTTCATGACTACCAGTAAATCAATTATAAGATGTATTCACCCAATTTCGTTTAAGATGATGAAGGACCGGTAGAAGTAGAATTTTCCCACAAATGATATGAGTTGGACTGACGTTTCCATTGAATATTTACATAGCTTTGCATTCCCAAAAGTTCTTCTCATCCAGCCAGAAGTTTCGACCTTGCATTGGTCTTATCACCACCCTCAGCGGGACTCGAACCGCGACAGTTCAGGATGGTAGCTTGACACAATAACCACTCGGCTGCACTGCCACGAGCGCCTTTTGGGTCACAAGGCTGAGGGTGTTGATAAGACCAATGCGAGGTCGAAACGGTAGTTCACTCCAGCCGGGATGAGAACAACTTTTGGGAAAGCAAAGCTATGTAAAAATTCAATGAAAACGTTAGCTTAAGTCATATCATTTGTGGGAAAATTCTACTTCTACCAGTCCTTCATCATCTTAAACGAAATTGGGTGAATACATCTTATAGCAAAGTAGTCGTCCACATCATCTAACTGACATTTTTATGTCAATCTTACCTCTTCCATGAAGCATTCCTCAAACTTTGACTTATAATTATTCGCTAAAATAAAAAAGGAGGCAAATATGACACCAAAACTGTTAGATTATATGCATGCCTACTTTGCCATATTGCAACAAGTTAAGAAGAGTTTGGAAAATTTTTCGTTCTTAATTTATCAGATTTACTGCAACGTCACGTTGACAATGGAGATAGAGATGGGCAACGATTTACCTTGTATGAAAGTTTTGACTTAACTTAACTAAATCACTTTATAGATTATCAAAAAGCCTACATATAGAGTATATATACAGTATTTATGGATGAGCTGATGAGTTTTCTTCATTCATTAGTTTGAATATGGTTGTAAAAAGTGCACCCTGTCTGGTTGTA